AATGTTTATATCAAACTGTTCAACAGTTTTCATAACAAAAATGTCAGAGCTTCTGGGCGTTATTATAATCTTTTATGCGTAGTAGGAATACAATCAGCAATATTTTGAAAACAAACAAATGTCGTTCAGGTTATTCATGGTTGAAAACGCCATTTTTCACGCAGCAATCGTTTTCGTCATTTCCTATATCGAAATTTTTCGCGGACAAAATTTTATATAGTACATGTACCAAGTTAGGGTTAGGCCATAATTCCAGGTACAAATACTACGGGAGACACTGGCTAGTCCCCGAAGTCATAATATACCCAAAATGAGAAAAAATGGAATGAAATTATGGCCTAACCCTAACCTGGTGCACATACTACGTTCCTGCGTCGGCCATCTTGGTTCACATACTACGGGAGTATCAAATATTGTAGGATTAATCAAGGGTAAATTTAATATATAGGACAACATATATAAGTCAAGTTTGGCTCGAAAGAGTGGTCGCACGCTGAGAAAAATAAAATAAATCTCGACCAAACCATTGGGTATTTGAAAGCCGTTTCGTGGTTGTTAAGATATCACTGACTTCAGCACTTAGGGACTTTCTACGACGCGCGTATGTCGAAGGATAAAAGGTGAGAATAGTGCTGAATCATTTCCCATTGCTATATTTAACCGTTGAAAGGAAACCTTCTTTTGTTTGAACGATTTGGTAGGTACCAGGCCGCCTTAACATACCTATTGCTTTTTTATTTTACTTATTAAATAACAGATTTTGTTCGACTTTATTTTATTTATCACGTTTTGTTAGATTTTCCCCAAGGGCGCCGCCGCTCGACAACCAGTTTTGGTTTTCGGCGTCTCCTTTCACCCTGTTATGCGATTTTTTTATATTTTCCTTAATTTGAGCATGTATAGTTTGTATTTTCAGCATGATGAAAAAATAAATTACTAATTACTGACTGATTACTCGCCAGTTGAAACGGGTACTATGACGTCACGATTCTGGTACCATGACGTTTTACTACAGCCTCAAACTTTTCAACGTTTTTTTAATTCAAGTCATTACCAAATATACTTACTTATAGCCACAAGTGTATAGTTGGTATTTTCAGCGTGGTGAAGAAATAAATTACTGATTAACAGAACGTTCCACACAGCAACTAAAATCATCAAAAATGTCGTTGGACAAACCACTGATGTATCTACCAATGTAGTACGTAAATTAGTGGATTGTGTCGAATATTGGCGGGTTTACAGACTTATGGTTCTAGGAAAATTCGCAGCAAGAAATTTCGTCGTAGGAAATCTCGCCGCAGAACATTTGGCCGCAAGAAAATTCGCGCATGGGGAAATTCGCGCCATGCAAAATCGTCGCAAATACATTTTTCTGTAAAACAAGTATTTGTGATAAAAACAGTTATGTTTTTGACCTTTTCATTTAAAAACATTAGGTATTTAAGAGCATACCCTAACCCTATAAACCCAACGGTTTTTATTATCACAAATACTTGCTTTACAGCAAAATGCTCTTGCAGCGATTTTTCATGCGGCGAAATTTTCTGCCGCAGGATTTCCTACGGAGAATTGTACGAACACGCAGACTCACCCCGCGGAATTTTATGTTTGGATAAGATTTTCATATTTATTCTGGGAAAAGGAAGGTCGAGTAGACAGCCTAATCACACGGCTAACCACGATCTTTAGTCCGGTTACCAGTTCATGTCGGGTATGGCAGCAATTCCCCAAAATCTTTGCTCATTCGGCCCCGAATTATCAGGGGAAAAAACCCACGCCGTACTTAAATGAAAAATTGCTGACTTTTAAAAACTCAATTTTGTAATCGTTAAAGACTTAAAGTGTACTTTATGCTTTTTAAAGTTTGTAAATATACAGGCCTAAGTAATAAACGCTCGGGATCAACTCGGATCTTTTGTACAAAGCTAATCCCCGCAAAAGCTCAAAATAAAAAATTAGGTAATATTCAGATAGGGTTAGGAATGCAGATTTCGCTGGAAATTCAAATTTTCAACACAATACTAACGCTAACTAAATAATTACGAATTTTTATTTAAAAATGTGGCGGGGTGTTATTCTCAAATCTCACATTTTTACATTAGCGACGGGGCCTTCGTACAAAAGATCCGTCAACTCTTCTTCATCATCGCAGCGCGATTTTTCTTTGAAATACTAAAACAATCACTCATGTTCGCCTACCTCGGTTTAGAAGATACCTAAACTGCAGCTCACCAAATTGTAGCGAGAAGTGTCTACCTCTATTCTTACGTAAAGCAAACGACATGGACGGGTAACATAAAGTTATAGATTTTTATACACAGCATTTAAACCAATGAAACAGTTATAATATATACAATATGTAAAACATTTAATCATATATATGTTTAACGCAATTCTATTAATTTTCGGGGCGCACTTCACAAATCACCGAGGCCCACCCTTTCGGAACCACTGGGATTAGTTAGATAGTTTCTTCTTTAACTATGCATGGGCTTGAAGATGGAAGGAGCCGTAATCGACCGATCGTTACGTGAACTACCTACGGCAAGGAGTCCAGCAATGCTGTCTCTCACGGGATTTGAACCTGCGAACCCACGCAGGGTAATCAGAGGTGCTGTGGCAAGCGCGAGCCCTACGTGGTCCATTGCGGCATAAGTTATACTGCTTACTGCAAAACAAAAGCAGTATAACAGCCGTTGTTACGACATAAATACCTGCGCAGAGAAATTGGTACTCCCGAAGTATGTGTACCAATTTTTCTTATTCTGGGAGTACCGAGAAATTTTTGTTTCATGCATTATAAGCGGTACAACTTCGCGCGGGTCGCATTTGGGAACCTGTTTTTGAATTCCGATATCTTACTTCTCCAGCTCTTATTTTGTCGCCATTGTGATCCACGCTTGGCTATATATATGTGATTCGATGGGTAAATAAGTTAGTAAATTACCTTAATAGCAAAGAAATATTATTTTCGGTATTTTCTCATATCAGAATTCGAAAAAAATGGTAATTTGCTCATATTTGTTTTCAGAAATCTGGCAACGCTATTTATATTTCATGTCGGTTTTTTGCTGCCCACTCGCGGTACGGAAAAATTGTAATTGTTAAGTTTTTTGCCGCAGTTCAATATATATGAATATTCAACAACAAGATAAGCTGTTTGCTTCGATAACTGTTTAAAAAATATTTTAGCATTTTATGCAGTACCCAAAACAATGGAATACTAATTTAATCGATCGATCGCGAAACCTTTACTCAACGCTCAGAGTTTTAATAGTCTGTCGAAGTCTTTGTATAATTTGCCCAAAAATTCGTTCGTGATGAATGTATATTTATAAAATAGACAAACAAAATCGTGACATTAATATCACAGAAGTAACTATGCCGATCAGTTGAATTGTGAATTCATTTGTCTTCACAAAAACTGTTTATTCAAGTGTAGACGAATGTCGATGCCAACCGAAATGATTATCCCAATGAGTAATTACCATCTTGTCCAGATTCAATATCCATTTTCGTTGTTTATATGATAACAAAACAAACACCTATTTCGCGATATAAGTATGTAATTCAATATTAATCTCCGCTAAGTGATTCAAGAGTCTTGCTGCACACTAACAAGAATACCGTATGTTTTTGTAACGTTACAGCAATATATTTGTGTTATGTGCAGCAAGATCACTTCGGATAGTTATATTTACTTTTGATACAGCATCATTGCATTATATGCATACGGATCCACCGTCGCAAAAGCATTGAAAAACGATAAGTAGTTAGTCCCGCAGAAACCAAAGCATTAGCGCAAATCTCCGCTAATGCACGAAATCTTTTCGTGATTAGCTATCACAAATATGACGTCACAGCTTTTTTCGTCACGTTGCTGTTTGTATTCTATTTCGCCATTCTGCGTCAGCTGGCGACCGCGGTTGTTTTCTCGTTGCGCTTCTTTGTCGTTGTTTGTCTTTGTTTTCTTCTGTGCCACGCGTTTGTGTTGCGGTTATAAGGAGTTGAGTCTTTTGGGGGGTATGGTTCAGTTGAGATTTATGAAAAATATCACTGTTTTGAAGGCGGGATCTGGTTAAAGGAGAACATTATGTTTGTTTTCTCTCCACACCCTGACATCGCCAGACTCACAGACTGTACGGTATCCTACAGCCAGACAGTACGGTCATGACGGTACGGTATTCTTGTATACAGGTATAAGTTTATCTCGACTTCATAATCAGCATAACAAGCAATAAAATGATAAAAACAAATTAATAAAACTGATATTGAAATCAGTGAGACAGTCGTATAACTGCAGAACTGTATAAGTATGACCTCGGCAGTGGCGCGGCGGTGTGGCTCAACGGCAGAACGGGCTAAGCGTTAGGAATACGCTCGCCACCGCACCTCTAATTACTCTGCGTGGGTTCGCAGGTTCGAATCCCATGCAGGGATGGTTATGTGCGAGAGGATTGCTGGACTCCTCGCCGTCGTTGGGTGGTTCACGTAACCGCTGGTCGGTCACGGCTTCCTCCACCACCAAGTCCATGCTTCCGAAAACAAATAATACAGTAAAACTAATCCCATACCTGACTTGGAATGGTAACCGGACGAGAGGCCGTGGTTCGCCATATGAATAAGTCGTCTTATCGGCTTTCCTCTCCCCCGGGATAAATATGTAAATCCTATCCTATCCAGTGTGGCGCATCGTGCTAAGCGTTAGGAATACGCTCGCCACTGCATCTCTGATTTCCCTTCGTGGGTTTGCAGGTTCAAATCCCATTCGGAGATGATCATGTGCGAGAAGATTGCTGGACTCCTCGCTGCCGTAGGGTGGTTTGGAATTGGATTGATATTTTTTTTTGATTATTGAGTGTCTTTTCTTAGAAGCAAGAAAACATTAATTTCGATCTTATTACAAATACTTAAACTGCAATACAAACAGTAATAACTATTATTCTTCAACTTTAATACACAGTTTATTTTACTATCATTGTCTACAAACTGTTAAATCAATACAAAGCAACACCGAGGTTCACATTCAGTGTCCTCATTAACCATCAGTGAAAATGTCTTTGTGACTCGACGCAAGAGATTGTGCACACACAGTGCATAAGGACATTGGACCATATCAAACTTCATATACAAGGCAGGATATCACATTATTGGAAACTGGTGCTGTAACAAGCCTATATAAGTCATAGGCCTATCTAATAAGTTATTGTAAACTATCGGATTGATTCTTGCATTTATTGGATTATCTCAATCAAAAACACAGAAGTAAACTTGGTTATTGGGAATTACATAGATAGAATTTTTAAATAAATTCTGATTTGAAATCGTCAACCCTTCGACCATGGCGGATGTTGATCCAGATACTTTGCTGGAATGGCTTCAGATGGGATTAGGAGAGGAACGTGATATGCAACTAATTGCATTAGAACAACTATGCATGCTTCTGCTTATGTCTGATAATGTGGACAGATGCTTTGAAATGTAAGTTGGATTATTTTTACTTTCAAACATGGTTATCCAGAGTGAAATTTGAACATATTGAAAATTAGCTTGGCGGGCTTAACAGAGTGAGCATCGTGCAGAGCGTTAGGAACACGCTCGCCACCGCACCTCTAATTGCCCTGTGTTGGTTCGCAGGTTTGAATACCATGTGAGGATAATCATGTGCGAGAGAATTGCTGAATGCTTCCCGACCGTAGGGCTTCCCGACCGTAGGGTGGTTCACGTAACTGCTGGTGGTTTATGGTTTATCTTAGATGCCCTTTAAGCCGGTTTTTAATCATAGTTTGAAACAATATTTGCCTAAGTCTTTTAATAAAAAAATGCAGGAGTTTGAAAATCAAAAATATATGATTTTCTTATTTTCTCTGTTTCTCGGAAGCCCGTTATATGCCGGTAGTTTTTTCAATTTCCCATGCATTGTACATAAGTTTTAACATAAGGTGTCATATTGTATGTCACAAGATAGCAATAACGTCACCAATGTGATTATCCAACTCAGCATGTCATACCATTGTTACGTCGGTTGAGTCACAGGATGCCATATAAGTCTATTTCTGATTCTGTATATAATGGATGCGTACGACAAATATTTTTGTAGTTGTTGTGTGTCATTCACTAAACACATAGACATAAAAAAAATCTTGGCCTTATTGTCAAAGATATATTCTTAGGCTATTCTGAGAACTAGAATGAATATTTTTTTTATTTCAACGCCGAATTTCCTAATAAAAAAATAGCTCTTTTATTTAAAAAGTGATGTGTTTATGCATTGGGTTTTTTGTTCATTAGTTTCATCCATTACTAATTTTTATTGACATGCTGCACACTGCGAAATTCCATATTTTGTCTTCATCCTGAGCCTGAAGTATGGCATTCAATAGGATATGATTTCTCAGTTCTGTCGCCTTCAGCTGATTTTTAAAAAATAGAGATGGCCGAAGAATTCAATCCAAATGAAATTCTGAGTCGCAGTTCTTACCACTTCATGGCAGATCCTGCCACGAACGAACCGATGGCAGCTCTTGCCATAGGATATGGCGCTATTGCTATATGGCGGTTCATTCACAAAGTCATGTACCAGATATTAGTTTATCATGCGGAATTATATCTACTTAAACCTGAAACCTAACCCCAAATCCATCAAAACTGTATAAGAAAAATGTTCTAACTTACCCAATTATGTCATCGTAAGGAAAGCCCTGCCATTATAGTCGACATGCCGTGGTTATGGCAGCAAAATTTAACCCGCCATTGGTTCTCAATTTGCTGCCGTGGTAACGACATCTCGCCATTGGTTTGTGGCAGCTAAAAAGTAAGTATCGGTAAATATCGGCCATGGTTTGGAAATCCCGCCATGGTTTTGAAGAAGCTTCAGACGCCACAGAATACTTAAAACTGCACTTGGAAATTTCTCATCAATTCAAACCACAATGTATGGGTTTGATTTTTTTGGGTCACTCTGTACTTAATAATATCAATGTGGGACAAATGGCACATGTTATACAATATCAATATTATTTAATGTCAATACTTATCGATCTTGAGATCGGTACGTATGTTGATAGGTATTTGTCTGTTTGTCTGTCTGTCTGTTAGATGCACGCGATATCTCACGAAAGCGAGGTTCAATTTGCCCCAAATTTTGCATGTGCATTCACCATAGCTCGTACCAAAAGCCTATTGATTTTGGATGAATTATGTCGTATAACTAGCGAGTTATTTATTAATTGGTGATGGGACACGCAGTGTCACTATAGAGTCAGAGTGAATGAATGGAGGATCCCCAACTGTCATCGATAAGTCTTCGGTCTCCGACCGATATTCTCGTTTTTTCTATTGATGCTTCATCTTATATAAGTGTTGAAATTTATGGGTCAATATTTGTATTTGTCACTAAATTAGGATATATCAATTAAAGATCAAAAATAAATTTAAAATAATCATAAATTTGGAAAGTTTTATTTGGGGATTAATAAAAATCGTTACTTAGGATGATTTATGGGTTTATTTTGTGAACTCCAATTAAACCTTTTGCGCTTCCCAAATGAGCAATCACAGCTCACTGGTTTTCTAATGATGATCATTTTAATGTAGCGGTTCATAATAACCCAAATGAGCTTCGCTTCAAGTTGACCAATATAAGTACAGGCGTTCCTTATGTCTGACTGGCTTTCCTACAGTTCAATTAACGATATCAAGTTTTATTATCCCTAAAGAAAAGTGGTCTTCGGTTGAAGCTATTGTATTGATTGTAAATTGATATCAATATGTGTTTGGTATGTACTTTGGTATGTGTAGGCTTTGATTGTATTTATCTAAAAGAAATCTTCCAATAATACCTACATAACAATATATTTGATATACACATACAAATCGATCAATGAATTTGGATAGACATTGCCGGTTGAAAATTAAAAATTTATGGCCAAAACATTTATTATGGTATACTGAATAGTAGGTAGCTCTTATGTATATATGCTGCCTTGTCTAGAGGTATGAAAACCCTAATTGAATTAGGCAAAATATAATGAAAATTTTTTCAATATTAAATATTTTTGCTAATGATTTGGTTTTCTGCGAGACTAACTAACTTATCCTTCTATGCTTTTGTGCCGACGGATTTATATGCTTTTCTTGTTATAGTTGAACTATGTATGTCTGGAGAAGTCTGATTTTGGTCAGACGAAACGTTACAGAAATATATTTGTGTTAGTGTGCAGCAAGACTCTTGAATCACTTAGGTTAAACATGTTTGTTATCAATTGCGTTGAAATGTATGTAAAATGTCCATACCCTCAAAACAATTTTTTCGTTTTTGTAATACACAATTCACTGTTTATTTATTCTTCTAGGTGTCCACCACGAAGCTTTCTTCCCGCTCTTTGTAAAATATTCCTGGACGAGACAGCGCCGGACAATGTACTGGAAGTGACAGCTCGTGCTGTGACGTATTATCTTGATGTTTCTGCCGAATGCACTCGCAGAATTGTTGCAGTTGATGGAGCTGTCAAAGCGATCTGTAACAGACTTGTTCTTGTTAACCCACAGGATAGGACAAGCAAAGACCTCTCTGAACAGTGTGTTAAGGTAGGAGATAATACTTTAATTATGCTTGATCATTATCTATGGCAGGGATCCTCTAACTTATGTAGTGAGAGTCATTGCTCATAGCTCCAAGAGAACCGCTCTGTTGCCTTCTTGGAGGGCTAAGGCCCAATTTGAGAAACCCTAATTTATGGCTTTCGGTCAACACTGATTTTGAAGTTATTGAATTTCTGCCCTTATTAATAATTAAACATACTTAATAGGCATACATTGTACTAACTGTACAGATAGGGGAAATTTCTGACTAATGCAAGTTTGGGTAATACTGGAGTCCATGACTCTGAGCTGAGTGGGTGGGTATCAGGAATATGAATAAATTCACATGAAATATGATTTACCATGTTGATTAATAATGGGTGCTACTGTAGTATACGTATCAGAGCATATTCCTTTGGGATACGTTGCTTTACTGCCTCCACATTGGTACATACAGTTCTGGAGCGCCGATGAATGTTTTATCAAAAAAATCGAAAACTTGTTGGCTTTGTTGCAACAATAACTAAAAAAAGTAACTGGTACCCAACTCACAAAGGATGTTCACAGAGTCTTAAGTTTAGTCACTTTTAAAAGGGAATATATTGACACCATATATTATTTGTTGCCCCCTGCATGTGTAAGAAATAAACACTGATTAAAACAAAATAAACTTAGTCAAGATCTATTGAGAACTGACTTCATAACAGAATTGAAATTGTAACGGGACTACACGAACGCCTTGTCGTTTCGTCAGTATTATACTTACAATTACTGAATCATAACCATTGTCTGTTTTCAAACAGGTTCTTGAATTCATTTGTACGAGGGAACCAGGTGCAGTATTCGATGCTGGTGGTCTTACTTCAACTCTTATCTTCATTTGCCAATGTGATACAATTATACATAAGGTTTGCTTTTTTCACTTTGTATTTTTGTAAGGAAAGAAAATACTTATTTTTGATTTCTGGGAACTGTAGACATTACCAATTATATTTTTATGTCTTAGCAAGACAAATTTTTAGCACGAAAAACGCGTATTAGCCAAATTTTTAGTGTGATCAGAGTTATGCGTATATAAGCCCCTTAGTTTAGGAACGTTTTTTTATTTTAAACTTGTCTTATATGCGAGCATATACAGTGAATTCAAACAATTATAAGGTGAATCAGTGAATTTCCTGCTTTGATTTTTACCACTTAGTTGTATTATTACCTTGTTCAATAAACCTGTTTGCTAGGTTAGTAAGCTTGATATTACCAATAAAAGAGAAAAGGGATATTCCCAGGGGATGGTCTCATGCAACCTGTCATTACTCTGTATGGATTTATTGATACCATTGGTTTCCTGGGTTCTTTCCCAGGTTTGGAAAAAACCTCATTTGTAAGCAGGGGTGCTTTTATCCGATTGTTAGGTTACTTTTATAAACGTTTCAATAATCACTATGAACCTCACTTTGTATAAGTAACTATTGATAGCTACAAGGGGCGAATTTTGTTGAAGGACTGCAATCTTAATATTTTCTTAATATTCTTAATAATCTTAATATTCATTGTAACCTGGGGCTGAGTGTTATATTATAATTGAAATTTTATGAATATTTTTATTTGAATTTCGATGTGTCCCACAGGCGTGTTTTTTTTATTTACTATTTTTCAATGTTTACACCCAGAACAAATTGTGTACATGTCTCATGGAAAAATCTGTTTTGTTATGTGAGTCCCGGCTTGTGATTCGTGAACAAGATTTCCATCGCCAATGCTTGAAGGATATCAAAATAGATAAAAAATGATAATTATGTTATGTATTTGTTTGAATAACATAATTTTTTTTCTAATTTCAGGACACACTTCATTCAGCAATGTCTGTGGTGACACGATTATGTGGAAAAGTGGAACCAACCAGCGAAACACTACCAGGAAGCGTTCAATCACTTTCCGCTCTGCTGCATTCAGAAGATCCTTCCGTAAGTACCTTATCAGATAGTGAGAGATTTTATTGCCATAAACAAAGTCAACAATATGGTGCATCTGACGAATAGTAAATTATTCGAATCGGTTCAGAGCTAAATTTCAAATCGCCGCCTTCTTGGTTTTTTCTTTCCGCCAATGGTCGTGGTGAATTCTCCAATTTTTTTTTCCTTGAAGTCATTATTTTCAAGGCAATCCTAACATATGACCATTTTCTGTAGTGAGTTATTGATAAAACGTGTTTGTTATTCTGTGTGAACGCTCAGTAATCTATCTAAGTGATGTATTCTATGTCTTCAGTAATTCATTTGTTGAGAGGATCAATTACTATAAAAAAGTTGTTACAATTATATATTTCCAAGTATTCGAGATTCGATTCGAAAAAATTATTCGATTCGATATTGAAATCACAAGGTATTCGAAAATGCCCAGCCCTAATCAACACAGAAAAATAATTCAGTAATAATTGGTCGTCAATTGTGAAATGGAAAGATTCAGGCCCTCTGAAACAAAAACCCGGTTAACCAATTATAGCAACAGTCAAAAAAATTGAAAATTGTTGCAGCCTTACTTTTCAATGACTGCTTGTCTAGAGCTTTCTTTTGTGTGAAGGGGTCTTAATATAGTTTCATTATCCACATCACAACATATAATATGGTACCATTGGTATAGAATTAAGGGCCTTCTCATAGTATGTGCACCAAGATGGCATACACCGGAACGTAGTATGTGTACCAGGTTAGGGTTAGGACACAATTGGATTCTAATTTTCCTCATTTTAGTTCTATTACGAGTTCTGGGACTAGCCAAGTGACTCCTGTAGTATTTGTACCTGAAATTATGTCGGTACACATACTACATGAGTACCGAATTAAGACTGTAAGGGGCAAGGTAAATTATAGTATATGCATAGCTATCTGAACAGTCAATTATTTATGCAAACTTCATAGCTAGTTGAGCATATAGACCCTTTCTACGATTTTTAATACAATCTATATTTCCAATTTTGGGGGTATAGTCTACTAAATTTTTTTTAGCCATCAATATTCAATCATTTTCTGTTGTGCTTTTTGTATGTGTTCTTGGTTGAATATTCCTTTTTCATGGAAATTTCTTCGCTAGTTGAACATATAAAAACTTCATCATTTTTTTCAAAATGATCAAGATTTCCAGTTTTATGTTGTTTTTGATAAAAGTTACTTTTAAGCAACTTTCAACATCACCATTAGTGGCTGCACTTAACAAAGTAAACTCATAAAATCGGGCTTTTTGAATTTTGATACTAAATTTTGTTTAGCTATCAATATGAAGGTATTGTTGTTATGCCTTTTATATGTGCTCTTGCTTTACTGAGATTGAAATATATAGACTTATAAATAATAAATGATCTTCATCATTCATTTATGGTGCAAAGTACACTGCTGTCTTATTTCCTGTTAGATTCTTTCTTTGTCCATATTTGTTCCATATGTATTTATTTTCATGGCTCTTCAAGGTTCGGATTTCAATTTGCAAAATTTACAATATATTTGATATAATTTTACAGTTTTGCGCTTGTTTATTCTTCCCACCTACCTTTTAACAGTTTTATATTTCAATCTGAGCCATCAGAAACTAATTATTGAAACGATCCAGGTATGTCTGTAAATTTAACAATAAACTGGTAGCTCTGGTGTTATCATTTCAAGCCTGTATACTTGGCTACTGTACAAGTAATTCACCATATGTTAGGGTCGCCATATTGTCTTTTCGCTCATTCAAGATAAAAGCAAAAAAATCTTAAAAATAATGCTTATGTCGTCGATGAATGAACAAATACTGTACAAGACAAACTGAAAGAAACATAATTTACTTAAAAAGATGAAAATAATATATCACACTTTGCCACTTGACTGAATTTCAAAACTATGTAATACAAACTTTGATTAATGAATATTGGATGCAACACTGTCCAACACTTGACTGATACCTCTTAAGACCGTATACAAAATTTACTGTTAGTACTATTCTTTTCTTGTCATTGTTGTAAACTGCTTGTCTGAGGAAGTCTGATTTTGGTCAGACGAAACGTTACAGAAATAAATTTGTGTTAGTGTGCAGAACTAAATTGCAGAATTTCATAGAACAATAAAAGTAAGCTTTTAAGAAGCCTACCAGATGCCTACCAGTTTTAACCATGGTATTAAAACCCCTGCATTCTGATGAATTTAATATTTTTCCTGTTTAGCTTTACAAGCATTCAAATATTGATCTCGTTGTAGGAAAGTTTTTGGTGAAATTTTATTATTTCCTAAAACTTGTCATAATGGAAATTCCCAATCAGTTATTCTGAAATATAAGGTAATGTCTGTAAATTGATAAACATAAATTAAATTGATATATTCAACGGTTCAATGTACTATGTAAATTACATTACATCGAAATGGTGCTGTATTAATTTAAATATATTTGGTGTGTAAGCCTGTAGAGCAATAAGGTTTTTGAACCACGTAAGTTAAGTTAAGTTAAGCCATGTAAGTGTGAAATATTTACAGTGTTACAGAAGCAAAAGTGGAAAACAATAAGCCTCGTGCTATAACTAAATTTAATCACAATCTCAACAAATTCCTTTAGATCTTTTTCAGCTGAAACATCAAAATTTGGTTTTACCTTGGTTGTGGAATAATAATACATTTATAGTAATACATTTACAATAACATCTAAATCCAGCATTGTGGGAAGTATGAAAATAGAATAGGATTCGGTATTCTGGATTCGATTTAACTATTCTAGAATATTCTAGAATAGAAAATTATTCTACATTGCCCATCCCTAGTTGTGGCAGCATCGGGCTGGCCAGATTGAATTACCCAACGGGCGGGATGTGGCCCGCGGCCCGTAATTTGCCCATGTCAGCTTTAGAAGGTAAAATTTTAACCTGATTTTATATGAAATCAGTTACCGGTATGTTCAAATCATGTCCTTTTAATGTATTATTTAATTTTTTCATTTTACCGGACCATGTTGAAAAGCTAATTCAACAGATTTGCTGTCAAAATCAATACTCTTCTCTCAATAGAATGAAAATTAGCTTGTCACGTTTAGACTGTGTGATGTCATAGTGTAACCTATTAATCACTGTTATGATGTATCAATGATTATTGTCATATGACTCAAATTGTCAACTGTAGGCTTGCTAGATCTTGCTTATATTTATTAGATATTGACATTATACCTGACAGGGATGGCCAAAAACTGAATTATTCACTATTCCAAATGTATTCTAAACTTTTGTTTTTGAAAACTGAATATTTATTAGACGATACCATGTTTAATGAACATATGGTAGCCATTGTATATCAAATTGTTCAGATTTGAAAATGTGGAAAATTATTAAATAAATTTATTTGAGGGTGAATTATTTACAAATTTTTGTTCTCGATGTGGATTTTAAGGTCCACCCTATATTGTACCACATTGTATGATATTTTTAAACTCTCACATTTAAAATTTTGGGGCGCAGTTGCCTAGCGATGACGAGATTTAATTAACTTCAAATCAAACCCACGGACTTGGCAATGCGGCTCAAAGATTCTGATAGTTTCAAAATTGTATTTTTTTTGCTTACTGTTAGATATCAGTGGATGCTCGGACAGGGCCTTGTTCAGAGCAAAAGTAAACAGTAAATAAAGTTACCTATTTCACCTATGCCAACGTGAAAGGCACCAACGAGTTTTGAACTCGTCGCCCAAGCTTTAGGAGAGCATTGCTATAACCATTGAGCCATGGCATAAGTGTCGTAAAACAAACAAATGAACTGTTACAGCCATATTATGTAAAAAAATCCAGTTAATCAATAAGTTATTATAAGGATTAGCCCAGTTACATGAGAGAATGTTCTAATCAGATTTCCAGGCTGATTAGCAGTTTGTTCACATTGTCACATGCAAGTGTTAAAATAATGTGGTAATGACATTTGAATTAAGCAATGTGGTAAATTGTCAAAGGGAATTAATCCAATGATTTGGTATAAATATTTTCTGGATATCTGGAGCGCATATGGGCCATTCCAAGCAAAAGTTGAATTCCATCAATTTTTTAAAAAGTGTAGTGAAAGTAATTTTTTTTATTTTTGATATCAAAAGACATTGGAATTTTATTGAACTGCATTCATTTCATCGAACAATTTAAAATTTCACCCAGGTGATGGTTGATGGTTTATAAAAAATGGTCTGAAATGTAGAAATTTTGGTATAATTGACATATTTTGTGATGATTCCTGACACAAAGTGTTTGATTGTGTGGTACAGTTATTTCATATGGAATTGACGCACTGGATTTAAGTTAATAAAGTTTAAATGTTTGCAGTGCTGTATGACATTTCTTCACCCATTTACCGATTTATTACCAGAATTTTAGGAGATGATAGAGGCCGCTATTCCGAAGTGGAAAAATGTCCAGTAGTGTCACGTCCCTTTAGTGTCACATACAATATGCACATTATTGGCATGGATTTACAGTGTTACATTAAGTAACTTGAGCAACACATAGAGGGGTCCTTCAGCTACTGCACGAGAAAATATTATGGGCTCCTAGCCTCCTACTGTACCATCGCAAAAATTTACAGCACAACACAACGTACTGTTAGTGCATGGTGGATTTGCCGTCCTGTAGTGTCACGCTATATCTTACTATATTTTTTTTATCTACTAAGTAAGTCTTGGATGCAACTTTCGTGCAATTTTTTACATATTCAATAAAGCAACTGATTGGACAATGAAACAAAACATGTAGCTGAAAATGTGAAAATATATTGCATCCAACAACATGCAAAATTTCTGGAATTGTCCTGTAGTGTCACTTGGAATAGCCAATATTCAGATTTGAATTGGTCATTTTGCAGGGTATTTGAACCAGAGATATGTTGTGTTTATCCCCGCTTATGATCCGATCCCCTAAAAACGAGCCTAAACGGTGAATTCACATAAAAGCCCTACAAATTGTATGCTCTTATAGT